GAAATATCCAACCGCCTTCCAATCCACTCAGGGGTGCCCCAAAGTACATGACCTACCTACAAAAGAAGAAAAAAGGGCAGTAGGTACTTTTGCAGATGACACTGCTATCTTCGCTACCCACGACAATCCAACCTCAGCCTCCTCTCATCTACAAGATTATCTAATCCCCATAGAAGCACGGATAAACAAATGGAAAATAAAGGTAAACCATTCAAAGTCCACACAAAGAACTTTCAACCTCCGAAAAGGCACGTGCCACCAAGATGTTAAGTGTAACTTAATTTCAGTTCTCGATAAAAGAAAGTTAACGTTACACTAGAGATTTGACTTCCTGTAACAAAATGTCTTTAATACTACTGGTTAAATGCGGGGCATTGCCTCTGTGTCTGTGTGCGGCATTCGACAGAAAGATATACACGTACATAATTATAAAAAAATATACGTTGCAATTCTTTGACAAAATTTGGAAATGTACTACATGGCTGTGACATGCCTGTGTTTACGAGTATTACCAGAGGATTGCATTGAGTGGTATGATTGAAGGAAATGACATTTAACTGTTGGAAATGTGTTGTAGGATTAAGATCGAAGTACAGTCGTAACAGAATTGCTGCACCAAAACCTTTCTTCAAAAACAATAATTAATAATTCAGCGTAAGAGAGCTTTATTCTTTCAAAGTGACTCTAGGGCTGCAGTGTACAAGGAAACGTAGTGCATGACCAAGTACGTTTCGATAAATTACAATTCATTTACTTGATCGCTTGAAAGGAGATAAATCATGCCCTGTAATATTGTATCACGTAACCCCATTCTTCGATAACGACCTCGAAATGAATAACGAAACAGAATCAGCTGCTATGTAACAAATTCATATAAAGACCGTATATGCAGCTGTTAGTGAATAACGCCGTCGCAGACAAACATGTTCCCAAGGAAGCAAATGGAGTACAACAATAAATAGTTTTTGGTTCAGCGCCCGTATCGAAACGTTATAAGCAGAATAATTGTAATGAGATTTCAAGTCCAAAATTTCTGCAAATAAGCAACACTGTACTATAAAATATGGAATTTGTAAAGGCTGGCTCTATGAGAGGAGACATTTATATATATATCACTATATTATCAGGTAT